GCTGTGTAAACTTAACACGCTACACCGTGTCTGCCTTCCACAAAAACGTTTCGAGCGTGTTCCTTATGAAACATGGCGGCCAGCGGCCGAGAACAGGCGAGAGACGAGCCCAGCGAGCCGCGCGCGTTTCAGCCGAATTGAAAGCACACAGGGCGCGTTAGTTCTCGTTCGATGTCTTTTATACACAGTAAAGTCTCCAAGCGGCGGACGCAGCTACTTGCAAAGGTACGTACGTGCGTTGTCGGCGGTCGGCGGCGTCGGTAGCTTCAACAAGCCGCTAGACAAAAAAAAAAAACAAAAAACGAATGCCGAACTTATATGGATAAATAACTTGAGCAAACTATTTAGAATCGGGCGGTAACTTGCGCCACCTATCGAGATTTCTAGCAGCTTGTATTTAAAAGAAATGACGAGTCTGTTAACACTGCGAACGACCACGACTACACAGCAACCCTACATACAACGCAGGCAACACCAGTACCACGTACAACACAGCACCGACATGTACACAAACACAACAACGACACTACGCCCGACACTTCCTACTCGATATCCATTTCTCCTTGCGGCGCATATAGCTTGACATTTGCGGGTGAGCTCTTTGGTCGCTGACCATTACAGAATTATAGAAGAATACACAAAACACGGCGCAATGGACAGCCGTGTGTTTGAACTGTTTGCATTTAAAAAGTATGGAGGCAAAATCTATAATGTTAGTCCGTTGCAATAAATAACGATATGTTAACAATAAATCTTAAACCGGTCATGAAAAAGTTCAAATTTTTGTTATTTTCTTGCTTGACCAGTGTTATGAGCAGTCCGACTAGCTTGAATCAGATAGGAAAACAAATTATTGGGATTTTGTCATTACGTATACAATAATAAATGAAAATGATCCTTGCGCAAAGCATTTTTCATATATTTCCGTGAAGGACATCCGAACATCCGCCCAACACTTCACTTCCGCTACTTGCAGTACGGGAGCAGACGCCTTCACTTTTGGGGCGTTTTGATGCAGTTTGTTGTCGTATGTCGTGTCGGTGACGAGTGGAGCGGTGAGGCTTGGGAATTTGTGACCGGTGTTATTCGTGAACACTGGTGTGGGGCGCTGATGCGTCTTTTTTTTATACTGCCACCACCCCGAACTTTGAAGATACACGGGCCCGTAGCAGTGCATTATGCTGAATCGCGAGCTCCTTCTCTGTTGACGTCGCTTTCCTGGTACCACTCGTGGATACTGCAAGCGTTTAAACAGTGTGCACCGTCTCGCCTACATCCCCGGTGACGTACTCGACCTGTTGAAACTTATTGCTTCCGTCATTTTATAGTACGCAAGGCAGTTATCTCGTTGGTCTGGTTTCGGTTATAAAAGCAAGGCAAAACGCTCGCAGTTCCCGCTCTCAGCAGACGTTGGACATCTTCCACACTTTGACACCAGATACTGAATGAACGAGGATTTACATTCACTTCCGAGGTTACTCTAGCCGCTTCCTCACCGTTGAGCAGCAGGATAAGCTGGCGACAAGCCGCGGATGAAAGGCTTGAGTATCAACAGCCCAAGCGTACTCGGTGCCGATGCGGGCGTCGCAGGTTTCTGTCAACCGGGAGGCCAGCACAAACCGTGACCGTTCCAGCTCTTCGTCATGACACGGTGTTGCAGAGAGCAGGGTAAAATACAGCTACACGGATCACCGAAGCAAACGCACTGCTATCTTAAATCTTGGCTTGTGATTGCGCCTTTGTAGTAGATCATCTTATTCGTTTTGCTGGAGAGACGCAAACGACGGGCATAAGAAAATCGCTTGCATATTCCGCATATCTCACAAAAGCATTTACATTGTCACCTTGCGAAAAGCGCGAAACACGGAGTCCGCACCGTCCTAAGCTTCCCGTTTTTTACCTGCTTTAGGGCAGTTTGTACCTGCTAGTAGATATGCCTACTGAAACTGAAACAGGGCAGTGCCAGAGAGAAAGAGACAAAGTTGGGAAAGCTTGCTCGCTCTCCAATTTCTTAACTCTCAAGTGATTGTACCATAATAAATGCACCAACGCCTCTTCCAAAATAAAGAAAGAGCACTACGTTCACAACGTAAAAAATGGTCTCAGTACATGCATCTGTGGGCAGGTAGGAAACCTTGCCCTAATTTATTCACGCCGCATGATTGGCGCAGCTAACTCATTGCAGGACCGAATCATTTACTCGAGCGGTGTGCGTCGCTATGCAAACGCAGTCCAACACGAAGCATAAAAAACGGCAGATTTAAGACAACAATCCGGAGTCCATTATTCAATTAAAACGACGTAATTTTGTTGAAAACGCCCGCTGCTTCTTACTGACGGTATGTGTCGGGATACTTCCACAGTTTGAAACGGAACGAAGGAAGATTTACTTTTAAAAACGCTCGCTGCGTCCTCCCGGACCAGCTGGGCCGGATCAGCTGACGACGACGGGACTGTACCCGTTGAACCTCCACCCCGCAACAAACAATTTGCGCTCCGTGTTAAAAGCGTGGTTCAAACAGACCCGGAATACAAAGCACCGCACCACACACGACGAACGTTTCAGCTCTTTTTCGCATCGCCGGGTTGCACCAAACAGAACGAGATCGCCGAAGTCAACGCCGCGCTGTCGTGAACCTTGGCTTGTGGTTGCGAACTCGTGGACCCTGTGACTCCCTTCGCTTTCAAAGCACACACGACGATTACGAATGGTACTTTCCGTCTTCCAGGAACATCACAGGGGCACTTCTCCGGTCACGTCTTCACTATGTGCTCGCAAACTCCGAAGCTCTATGCGAAGCTTTTCGCGTCCCGTCAAACCAAAACAGTAGCGGCGCCATGCGTACTTGCCAGATTTTCTCCGGTCAAACAAAAACAACGAAAGCCAACCGGCGCTTGCTTCCAGCGTACATCGGCGTTGCGCTTGCGCCGTGGCCAGATCGCTTGCAGTTGAAGGTTGAAGCAAAAACGAAACCAACTGCAATGTCACGTGTTCACATCGAGGACACGCTTTTTATATCCATTTTAACTGCTTGGAACGAATAATTAGACCCATGACTTTATTTGTGGTGTGTAAGAAACTATTATCAAGACCCCTAAACTAAATACAAACATGGGCGACATGAGGGAAGCCGCATTGCCATCGACCAGAAAATGGCGGCGAGCACGGTAAGCGCGGGTTTCGCCAACGTCCTGCGACATGGCGCAATTGCTTTTGGTGCATATCTGTCTCCGAGACATGTTTCTTTCCGCGGCATTTGTCTCGACGGTCCTTTCTAAGTGTGTCCCCAAGCATTCCGGTACTTCGATAGCCGGCAATGCCGCGGTCGTCGCCGGGGGCGATGCGTGTTATCGAGGTCGGCTACACGGTTATGCGTGTATGACCGAACCAAAACACATTTTTTACAACCTCGCATGATTTCTGAACGAATTATCCGTTACTCATCGTGTAAATTTATGGTAATTTGTGTAAATAGCGTGTTTTTCACCCCAAATATTCGCCAAATACACGGAACTTGCTAACAGTGTATCACTAATGCGTGGTGCACGTTAAAGACCCCAGGTTAGCGGTTGTACCACACTGGCTAAATTGCTCATCTACAGCTGAGACACCAGATGCCCACTGAGGCAGACTAACTTCCGACTGTATAAACATACACACAACAATTTGCTTTTTGCTTACAAGTGCACTGCCGTGAATAGTTCATAAGTGCTGTCAAATATGGTGAACCTTAATTGGATGCGGGGCGAATGAAGAAGCTACCCTGTTGCGCCATCCTTTTCAGTGACAATGTAGTTATCTACCGTCAACCTACTTTTACCTTCATGCAAAGTTCTCCAAGTGATTCAGTGATTCGTTAGAATGCTATAAAAAAAAAAGGTTCTAAAACATAGCAAACAGCTTCTGTATACCATGAAATACTCAGGTGTGATGTGCCAGATTTGCAGGCTGAAAGCTCCTATGGCACTTTAAAGCACCCGTCGAGATTCAGGAGCACTCGATTACTGTCCACAATTTGTTGTCTGTTTTTAATGCGAAAGCACTAACTGTCCTATGGAGCAGAGCCTGCAGCGTCCGGTGGCGCCAGTAACTGCGAACAGTGCAAGGAGCCGGCAGCAAGAAATTTATTGTATGTACATCTTGTGGTAGTCTTATTAACTGTCAGTGAACAAGCATGTAGCCATTTATAATTTTCGACACTTAACATAGTTTTTTCCACTTCAATTTGGCTGGAAGTACCAATAGAATCTTGCTAGTCATTCAAGTTTACAATAACATTTTTGGTTGCATTGCAGTAAATTGGCAAAATCTGAAGTGCATGATATGATGCTGTGTTGTGCTACATTCTCATAACAAGTGAGTAAATTAATTCTGTACAAACTTTTTTTTTTAGTACTAGCAGTCATTTTAAATTGTCCATGTGACGACACCCAACCATACTTTGTTCACCCTTCAGCTGAGACTGCAGCCAAAGTACAAGTGCGAGCTAGACCGCGCTCCTAGCTTCGAGAGGTGCATTTCTAGCATGAGTGCTTTTTCCGCTTTAAGAACACTTCAAAGCAGCTACCCCGAGCTCTCGTTTTTGTGGCATTAGCTGCAGTCTCAGCCTAACGGTAAACAGAGTATAGATGAAGCACAAGGCAATTTCAATGAACTATGATGTAAGTGGGATAGTGCGTGCCATTTTTACAGTAGCAAAATAGATGACAGAAATAGGTGTCTCGTTGCCAAGCTTTCCAAGTAGCAGCTGGTTTTCCTTCAAATCTGCTTTCACCTCGTCAGACTGTGCCATCCAACATGTTTATATTGTACAGTGTGTCTACCTGCCCTCAAGCATTGTACATATTTATATCTTCAGCAAAATCAAAAACTTGCAGACTATATCAATCTACTTTTTTTCTTTTTCTGATGTGTTCATGGCTAAAACAAGATTTGCCACTGTAAATGGTGTCCTTTATTACTGGAATGTTTTGCAGATCATATTCAATAAAATGTGTCATTTTCATTTATTGGAAGTAGAGCCACAAATCTTCAACTCCTTTTGGCCTGAGCGAGCAGGAACTCGAACATGATCCGTCGCTGTTCGGAGAGCTCGCGCCTTTCCTCGGCTCTCGCCTGGGCTTCCTCGGCAAATCGTTCACGCTCGAGCTCCAGCCGTTTTTCATCTAGAGCGAGTCTCCACTCTTCTATATCGAGCTCCCTCTCTCGAATGGCTCGCTCCTGATGACTGCGCTGCTGCAAGAAGGCGGCCACGTTCCCATCGCGAGTTTTCTTCTTTCCTGCAGAAAGTCATGTGCAATCAGGAAAAATGACAGCAGAGTGAAAACAGTTTTGATATGGTTCACCCGTACAACGATAAGCAACTGGTTGTTTCTAATTTTCTGATATGTTCTCATTAGAATTAAACTTGAGGAAGAAAACAAGAAGGATGAACGACCACAAACTTCCATTGGAAGTTTGTGGTTGTCCGTCCTTCTCGTTTTCTTCAAGTTTAATTATCCCTACCAACCGGCTCGTTCTGTCCTTTCTGATAAGAGGTGCACCCCTGCTTTAAAAGTGCCTTCCACACATTTGAGAACACATTTGTAGCTCTTGTTGTACCACCTTATTAAGATGAAACTGATTATTGCAAACCAAGCACCTCAAAAAGAATTAACTCACTCGGGTGGGCATTGTCAACAGCTGTAGTGAACATATTTAACCCAATCACTGGCAGCTAATGGAGTCCCCAGGCAAAATCATATTTCATTCACTATGCTTTGAATGTAAATTAAAAATAATTGCAGCCGTTGCACATGGGATACCTAATGCCGGACCGAAGAACCTAGGCTTCAGCACACGTGAAAGTACAGTTCCAATCAAAATAGTGAAGCCTCACTAGTGTGGTACTGCCTGCTGCTCAACCTGCCTTTTTTGTTAGTCCTGCCTCAACACTGCTGCCGCACTTCATCAAAAGCAACGTAAAGGGCTGTCCAAATAGGATTCATTTGCGACATTTGCCGTGACGGAAGTGAAGGCTTTTTTACACTCTATATCCGCCTTCATAGATAAAATACCGGACAAGCGCCCACTCAAAATTTAGAGATAATCACGAAAAAATGGGGGATTGGCACTTGTCCGGTCATTAATTTCACATATAAATGTACTGTGCATATTTTTTCATATCTTAAAAAATTGGATATGGGTGCTTAATGTGGAATGGGCGGATGCGCGGTATTCTACGGTACATTCTTTTTGCCGCGGAGAAAGCAGGCTACCACAGGGAAGCTTTTCTCCTGACAAAAAGAATGTATGAGAGCAGATGGGAAGCGTAGGAAAACCTCCACTGCTGGTACAGCAAATGCCACGAACGGCAGAAAACATGCCGTTTGGACAGCTCTTATAGGGAGTTTGGGCACTTTGTGTTGATGGCTCACACACTCAAAACAATCAGGTGCTCAACACAGGTGCTTAATTTAGCTTGTGGCATGTAGTTAGCTACATAAGCACCCACTCCTGCAGCTCTTTTCAGCACTGTTCTACCTACTTCGAATTGTTCTCGAAAAAATAAAATTCCGACAAGCTGCACCCATGAAAAGCAAACAATTTCCAGCAGAAAGAGCTTAGTTTAGACTACTTGCTGAACAACGCAATTAATGAAACATGCAATTTGAGGTTCTTCGTGCTTGGGAAGGCAAAAGTGTTTCACACCGCTCAATTTAGCATGCTTCCTTCCAATTGATTGGGAGTCTTGATGTCTAGTACAAGACTTGCCTGGAGTAGAAATTACTCAAGTAAGATGGAAGTGGTCCTCGAAACACTGCACAAAAAATAATCATAAAATGCTTAGTGAATATTGATATTCATACCTCGCAGTGCCGCAGTTCTTGTCCTAGGTGGTGGTGGTGACCTCGTGCGATCGGACCCATTGGCCCCATCGGTGGACGTCGACTGCGAAGGGCCTCCGGTGGCAGGCGTGGCAACTGCAGGCGTGCTTCTGGCTCCATTCTCACACATCTGCATGAGTAGAAGAGACGCTGGAGACTCCTCACCTGAACATAACGTGTGAAAGAAATTGAGTGAAATCACAGTTTTGGCAACGCTCAGCCTCAAGCACAGGGTTAACCTATTGTGAATCGTGCAAAGGAATTGTAACGAATGCTAGAAGCATCTGTAAGTATGTGGCACACTACACAGGCTGAGGTTCTCTTCTACAGCCTCTACAAACGAAGCAGAGAAGTGTAGGAGAGGCTGGGAGAGGGAGGGGGGGTGCAATTGAAAAGGTTGGCTCGGGGAGAGCTAATGGCCTTAAAGAAGGTAAGTTTCTGGGTGAATTTTCTTATCATTAAGGGTCCTTCCAGACTACAGGCAGCCTCTCGAGTTCTCTGTGGCTTGTGAAACTTCAAGCTTAACTATAAAGATACCTGAATTGCCTTATAAATGTATGAAACTAACACCATTCGTTTTTGTAACAAAGTATGTCATCACACATTCCAGTAGAATCAAATTTTCATCTATATCTGTGGACCAGTGTTTGCTCTTTTCGATGGGCACCGCAATGTTTGTTTATGCTGATGCCACAACACTTGAGGGGGCTGTGATTTTTGCAAGACTTCGTGTTTTTCTTTTTTAGGAACCTTTGTGCATACCGTAGTTCAAGAATGTCGGAAATGCATAGTGATGAAGCTCCAAGAACGACACCGATGCCAAGAGTGCTCTGAAAAGCAAAAATCTTGTTTTATGCACAGCCCATTTCTTCACAAAAGCCTGCAATTGAGATTATTATTCCCCATTTTTATCACTGGAGACTAGGATTTCGGACGCTAGTCTATGCAGATTATATTTGCCCATAATGTTGTCCAAATCTTCGTCCACTACTTCCTCTGCGTTGGCTATGTTCTTCGCACCAGCGGCTGCTGCATTGACCGCCGTCACAGCTGTCTCCCTGATGGCATTGGCGGCGTGTAGCTCTGCCCTGGCAGAAGCTTTGTTGGTCCTGCTGCCTGGCCCTATGGCGTTGCCCGGCGTCATGCCCACTTTCCTGGGCTGGACCCTGACTTGGTGGCCGAACTCCCTCGCCATGCCATTTATTTCTTGGAGCAGGTGCTCCTTTTCAGAGTATTGCTCCTCTGTGCCAGACCTAATGTTTAAAGAATAAGTTGGAAATGATTGCAGCAGGAGTATATATTTCAATTCAACACGAGGTGATTTAGTATCGTTAATTGTTAGATGTGAGTTGAGTTGTTAAGATTTAGCATATCTGCACGCAACAACCCTGAATTTTATTTAGTCACACCTGCAGCAAGTAACTGCCTCATGAAAAGTCATGCTGCATCAACATAGCCATTGGCTCTTATCAAACAGGAATACAAAACTCTGCATCCGATCAATTTTCACATTTTGTCTCATGTGGTCAAGCCACATGGCTACTTAAAAGGTCATCCCCATGAGCAAGGGAAGAGGAAAATAAAATGTACAGTGGGAATCGATATGAGCTGACTAAAAAACGCTGGCCGGGGCGGGAAAAATCACTGGAAAATCTGGGAAAGAGCAACGCAGACCATCTCTTTATTAATTTCGGAGTATTGGAAATATAACGAAAATAAACTGCGTTAAACAACGATTTCCTTGCAAAATATATGCTCCGTAAAACAGTCTCCCAATTTCACAAGATATAAACTCCGAAAACACGACACCCGTACTATGAATACAAATCTGGCGTATCCGTGGCTGTGCCCTCATTGCATCACCGCTTGCCAGTCCTGCACAGGTGAGTTCAGGCAGTGGATCTCAGAACGAGCCGCAGACCGAATGTTTCGCCGATTTCCGCTTAAAATACGCTCAAGGAACAAAGGTTACTGTACTTACTTTCTTAAGTTTGCCCTGTCTTCTCGACGAAAGTGGCCGAGTAGCAGGTCGCAGCGTTCGCGTATGGCGCGAGCTGTGAAGTTTTTTACGGTTGTCTTGTTGACCATCTCTGTGATTGCTCGCCACCTGTCGTGGTCATCGAATGGGTTTGTCGCTGCTATCTCTTGTAGTAGCAGAATGGCGTCTGCCACGATGAAGCGCGACCGCTCAGCGGGCACATTCAACGCGGCGGACATCGCGGACTTCTTGGAAGTGATCGAGAACGCTGGATCTCCCCGGCCTTCCCTAATCTCGCAACGACTCGTTCTCGCGAGACCCGCGCTAGCACATCCCGCTACCTCCCCCGCTATTTTTGCAGAACAGCGCGCCTCCGCTAGCCTCCGCAGCTCCGCTAATTTTCCGCTAGCAGCGCGCATGCGCCGTAGTGTCGTCGCTCTAGCGTATAGCGTAGCGGGATAGCCAAAACGATCTACTAAAACTCTCTACTAGTGACGCGACACTCGGCAAAGAAAGGTTGGACCGGCATTGCACGTAGCTCCCACAAACTGTTATAGCTCGACAGTGAGGTGCAGTCGTGTCAGAATAAAAATGGCATATTAATAACAAAGTGTACATACCGTGTTACGAAGGTAATTCATACGGCGTTTCTGCAGAGCTCGCTTGTTCGCGGGTCGGAGAATTCGTGGCCGTTCTGGTTTTTCTCGGGTGTTTATGGATCCAGCGTTTTTGTTCGTCGTGGTCTGTTTCAAGTAATTTTTTCTTGCTGCTTGAAGTCGGGACGCGCGAGAAGAACACGTCGCGGCCAAGTAACTGAGCCCAACGCTGTCGGCATTGTCGGCCCGTCGGCCCTACCGCCCCTGCTTCGTTTACCACACGATAGATGGCTCTTGGCTCTCAACATTATGAAATTTGGCAATTTTCGTCACATCTCTATATATGCTACAAAATGTGGATCTGAATATTATTTAACAAAACTTTTAGGAAACATTCGCCGGCTATTTATTGTTTACGATCGCGGTGCTGGTGAGGTAGGCTCTTACCCAATAGGTGACGTGGATTCGGCTGACGTGCAGCGATTCCGCGGATGCATCGCAGTGAAAAGGCAGAGAGCTTTCGAAGGAAAGGAGGCGCAAAAGAGTCCAATTTTCTTTTAAAAGTTCTATAGCGAATAATTTTTTTGGCTCCTTATTTTTGTGTTTCTGTGTTTATTTTCACACCTTTTACAACGCGCGGTGTATGAAATTCGATTTCAGAACCGTTTCATGGTCCCTTTAAAGGTGTCGTGCATTAATTGTGAAACTTTCCGACAATGTGTGAATATTAAATGGTGAGGTCTTAGTTACTTACTCTTGAACATCTTCTCTCACCCTCAGGGGTTTTTCTTGTTATTGGTAATAAACTCAAATTACTTTTCTGCGTGGTTTTAGCAATATCCACATCCCAAGTTGGGTGCACGCTAAGTTAACACTCGGATAAGTCTAAACAAATTTGCATGTTTGCACGGCCAGTCCTTACGGCTTATCGTTTTGCATCGGTTTACAAGAATCGCAGTGTAAACAGTTGACCCGCTCACTTTCAAAGTACAAGGACAGCAACCAAAAATGCCACCAGAGTGAAGATTAATAGGAATAATATTAATAATAATAATAACCTTTGTTTTAGTTCCTCAGCTCACAAAAACAACAATGGCGTGGTCACAAAAAAATGCCGGCATGGGCCATATTTTTTAGCAACTCGAAAATAACCAAGATGAAGTTGTACGACGAGCTACTAATACTTGAAATAAGAAAGGGCGATTTCAATTCTAAACTTCTAATTTCATAATACAGTTTCCTAAACTTAGCGTAGATGTGCTTCGTAATAACGAAACGCAGCAAATGACGCCTCCGCTAAGTACAATACCTGCCCAGATTTCATTTATTAGCGTGCCTTAAGAAAATTTGAGGTATGGCGTAAAAAATGTACCCCATGTAACTACCCGCTATATTGGCTGCCTTCTTAGTCTGAATGCATTGTCACGATCAAAGTGTGAAAAAATACAAACATTACAGGGAACAACAACACAAACCAGGGCACAAATTTATTCCACTTTTTGCAGATATTTGCAAACTACCAATCCTGAGAACTGCGTGACACAGGTAACACAATCTGACGCATCAAAAAAAAAAAAAACATACGAGTATAAAGCAAAGCTGCATCACCGCGATGAAATATTTATGCATATACAAATAACGTTTTGCTAAAATCATCATCTGCACATGCAAGTAGAAAGAAGGGCATCTGTGCATTCCCCGTACAAGTAGCCATCCTCCTGACAGTGGCTCTGGCACAGCATGTCGTTGAAGGGGCAACCATATGCAGGTTGACCTAAAAGAAGGAAAGGGTTTGATGTCGCATGTTCATTATAGGACAAACAGCTTCTTCTACCATAGTTATACCCTGTCACTGATCCTTCATTCTGGCGGCTGAATATAGCCCGTAATGCAAGCCGCAGATTTGTGCAGTAATTTGTTTCCAAGCAACAATACATTTACCTTCAAGTCAAAAAGCCGTTAAATATGTGTATTCTCGTCATATTTGAATAAAAGGGACAATAATGTTCACATGCACTCCATGGTCGTTGTGAAGTGTCCGTGCGCTCTGGGATATCTATTGCAATATTAATGTCGGAATAGAAATCAAAATGTAAGTGCTTTCAGCATAGTTTACCATAATGATAATGTATATAATATTATAATTAAAATCAACGATAAGATAAAATACCCTTTAGAAATCTTCATATAAATTTGTTATATGTACATCCAGCACACACTTCTCCTTATCTTGAACAGAATATCCGACTCGGGTTCTATTCTTATAAGAACCAGAAATTGTTCAAACTTTTTTTTTACGGTGGAGGCCTCAGCGATTAAGGAAAAAACTGCAGAGCTGTGTCTCCTCTACAATGTTAAAACATTGCAAAGATTTATTTATATAATTACATTTTTTAAAATTAGATGCAACCTTATATCTCCAGACTCATAGGGTTGACGAGGAACTCAACGGTTGATTTAACATGTTTTCGGAGCCCTATCGGATTCTTAAATGTCGGTTTTGAACATAGTTGATTTGTTTGGGCCTGCTTTAGCTTGATGTCTAAAAGGCGCTTTACACTGCGAGTCGCTGTTTTGTTTTGTTTCGTACTTAACATTTTTGCCTTTGGACTCGACAAAATAGACAGCTCTAATGTTTCGTTAAAAGTATGTGATTCCAAAATTTTGCTTCTCTAAATTTTTTTGCTTAATATATGCAACACTCACACGTTTAAGCCACGTTCAAGCTGAACCCTTTATCATAGCACAAATGACACGCGTTTTGCTAACGAACCATTTCTTTTCATCTGAACGCGATTGAAATGCCCCAGGAATACTTCGCAGAAATACTTGACTAGTTTGGCACTAATTTTATAGATATTATTGTCTGCGAAACAAAGCTTGTATGTTTGGCAATTCCCCCCAAAATTATGAACCTGAATATTCATCATTTATTACGCACAATACAGAGTGTTGCCTGCCATTCTACTCCGATTTTCTGTTCAGACACAGCGAAATTTTTATGTATCGCTTTCGATCTTACATTTTCACAAAGTTTAAACCTCATAAAAGGGTGTACCAATGAGCTTTCTTGCTCAATGTTTTACATTTAAACATTTTTATTACTTGTTCATAAAAAGATTACAGCCTGCTCATTGCTCTGTGGTACACTCAAACTTGTACGGTACTCCTTACAAGTAACCGAATTACTTGTAGTTGATTACTTTTTGAAGTAATTTTGTAATCATTTGAACATATTTATCAGGAAGTAATCACAAGAGCGACGTAATGATTTTTGAAATCACAATAATATTATTTGTAACCATTACTATTTTCCCACTCCTTTTGAATTTCGCCCCTTTTTTTCTACAAGTTTTCTAGCAGCGCATCCTTGAACCAAGCTTCTGACAGGATAATTAAGAACAATGGGTAGATTCAGAAGAATGGTAGTTTATAATTCGGTGAGTCTAACTGAATCAGGGACAGTAGAAAAGACCCGTTTTCAAACCGGAAGAAAAACCTGTCGTTTTGAAAACTTGAAGTAATCGGAAAATTAACGGTTGCTATTTCGAACATCGTCTGATTACTTTTCTTCTCAAGTAATCAGATAGTGTAATTTGTTACTTCTTTGACCGAGACTAATTGTAATTCATACCATTATTTTTTTTTTGCGAGTAACGTTTACAAGACTGTACGCACAACTCAAGTTATTACAAGTTTTGACAAATGCTCTTCTTTTTGTCGCGCAAACGAAAATGGTATTTACTAATAAACACTTCGTAAAGTTTATTACAAGCATACAACCGACTGTCTGAATAGTTTTCACGCAGGTTATTTACCATTTACTAATTCATTCTTAGCTAGCAAAAATAAACATTAAGTTTCAATAAAAAAACTTTTCCACGTGCGTCATTCAAGACGCATAGGTCAGTCGATTTGAGAAAACTTAAAGCAGATGTGAAGTGTTGAGGTGCACGAAAGAATCCCCTAGTGCAGCAGGCACAAGGCTGCCGATGCGGAAACGCGGCTGATATTCTTATTCGTGTTGTCGCGTCACCAGCCTGGTGCCTTCTCCACGAGTGGCAATTTTAACGCACTCCCACTCGTCACACGTGCTTCAAGTCTCTCTAAAATTCACTGGTTGAAGAGTTCTCAGTGACATTACACATTACATAAGTTTCTAATTGGTGTCATACCTTTATATGCACTAATTAAAGAGTTAGAAAATTTTAGGTAGTTATTTAGTTCATTAGTATCCTGTTTTTTAATCCCCGACGTCCACCGTGGCTGGCAATTTATTTCCCGAAAGCGGTTCTTTTCCCTCAAGCAGGCTATTGGTAGGAATTGTTTCTTTTAACCTACGCTCATACATACGGTGTATAGTTTTCATTTAGTGGTACCATACGTATTCCAATTATTGAGCAATATACAGAATTAGTTTGCATTAATGATAAATGATATCATCAAGCGGGGTCTTCGACAAAGTAGAAATATATAAAGGGCAAATTCTGAAGACAAAAAAAAAATGTTTTGCAGAAAAACTACAGGAATATCTTAGAACCATTGACTATATTGTCACTTCGTTACCGGGTGTAAATTGCAAAATAAGAATACGGGAATGCGGAGCTAATCACAACAGCCGTCTGAATCACGAATAAGGCCACCAGGCAGCGTCAGAATCAAAACATATAAAAATAGGTATAAATAAAATACAAGTGCGGGACAGACCGGTTGCTGCTTCTTGTTGGCGAGCGATCCGACAACCTACTTTTTCTGACATAACAAGACGCTGCTAAATATGGCCACGAATATCAAATGATGAGGCGGCTAATAACTGAAAAAAACTAAACGTTTACTACGCAAA